TAGTCACCTGCTAAAGGCCCCAGCTTTTCATACCATCATCTTGTCGGTTAGGATTTTAACATATGAATTTTAGGGGAGGCACATTCAGACCATAAGACTATGCACCCTTTCTTGAGAGGATTAGGAAAAATAACTAGTGGGCACTTGGTTTAATACCTGGGGACTAAATAAATAAGCCTTACACCAATCCCCTTGACACAAGTTTACCTATGTTAGAAATCTGCACATGTATCCCTGAACTTAAAAGTTAAAAAAAAAACTGTTTTTGTGTAAGAGGGAACAAATGTCACTTTATCCTCAACATGAATATAAACTAATTATCTGTAATTATATGAAACATTATGTATTATCAACTTTATTTCTATAAAACCACTATCATATTAAAAAACAGAGTTAAAGGAGATTTTAAAAAATCAAGAAAGAGGATAACACCAGATTCTGTATAGAGTAGATTCAACACAGGAAAGCAGGGAAGAGAATTTCCAGGATGCAAGCTGCTTGGCAGGTCTAGATCATCAGTCTAGATTGGAGCTAGGAGAAAAAAAAAAATTTCCATAGAAAAAAATAATTATCCTTCAGCTTCAATTTCTTCAACCCAAAATGACTCTAATAATAGTACCTACTTTATAAGGTCATTAGGTTACTGAGGCCACTAAATAAATCAACATTTGTAAAATACTCAGAGCATTGTTTCACATTTATAAACACTTCAAAGGTGTTTGTAAATTAGATTTGGTGGTAACTATAAGAAAAACTAAAGAGAGAAATGGTTTATGGGAGGTGGGTCAAGGTTTTCGCTTTCATTCAAGTTCTTTATATTCCATACTTTTTTTTTTTTTTAAAGTGATGCTGGTCAACAATGTTAACTACTTCAGATAGATTAAATAAGAGAATGTCTAAGATGTACCCACTGTGTTTATTGTAAGAAGGTAATTGGCAATTTTAGCCATAGCTATTTCAGAAATATGATTTTTATTTAAAAAAAAAAACAGAAAATCTAGTAAGTTTGGGAGTAATGGAAAGTGATAGGCAGTATAAGTATTTCTTTCTTTTTTTTGTTTTATTTTCCTTGTATGATAAGATTTAATGAATTATGAGCCATTGATAATTACAGACTTTAAACCTTAATATTTCTTCTTTCCTATATAAAACCAGGTAATTAAAATAGCTTATCTCAAGTATGACAGAAAACCATAGTAAGAATAAGAATCATAGTAATGGTGCTTCCACAGTATAAGTATTTCTTTCAAAAAAATGTGACTTTGTTGAGGAACAGTAAACCGGATAGTAGCAAGGAAAGGAAGAAAGTTGAAAGAACATATGTTTTTACTTAGAGACCCCACTCCTAGTCATCTCCCTTAGGTCCTTTTTTTTTTTATTATTTTTTGAGATGGAGTTTTACTCTTGTTGCCCAGGCTGGAGTAGTACAAGGGCGTGATCTTGGCTCACTGCAACCTCCATCTCCCAGGTTCAAGTGATTCTCCTACCTCAGCCTCCTGAGTAGCTGGAATCACAGGCATGTGCCACCATACCCGGCTAATTTTTTTTTGTGTGTGTGTGTAATTTTAGTAGAGACGGAGTTTGTCCATGTTGATGAGACTGGTCTCAAACTCCCAACCTCAGGTGATCCGCCCACCTTGGCCTCCCAAAGTGCTGGGATTACAGGTGTGAGCCACTGCGTCCAGCCCATCTCCCATAGTTCTCTCAAGCCAGCCTAACTAAAAGTGAGGATATAAAATTTTGATAGATAATAATTTTTATAATTTTATGTAAAGTGTAAGTACAAATAGCTTCAGAAAAAAACAATGCTTTTATTGATCTCTAACGAATAAGCTGAGTAAAAGCCATTGTTTACAGTGCAAACACAGCTCTAACACACGATCTGTGGTGCAGCCCTAGACAGAGCTCTGAGCCATCCTAGGTAAGAATAAAGGTGAAAAAGATCCGAGAACAATGCAAACCCACCTGCCCTCTGTTCCCCATTCCTTGTCAAGCTTCATTTCACCCCAGTGCAAGAACAGAATCCACACATAGTTAGGCAGAGCAGTTGTCTGGAGAGCAAGGGTAGGCTTAGATCATTCTTCTACATCAAAAATATAGGGACCACGTGTTGATGTTTTGTGAAAATGTTCTTTGAAGGATGGTCCAGGGAAAGACCGGGTGACTGAGAGTGGCTCAGCTAGTCATTCTGCTTATTTCGAAGCGAGGAAGAGTTTTTCATTTGTGTGTGTGTGGTTTGGGGACCATCAAATACATATTCATTCAACCAGTAGATCAACACAAAGTTACTCAAAGTGTGGAATATAGACTGATGTTTGCCCAGGAATCATTTGTTACCAGTCTATGGTGGTAATTGAAGGTAAGCATTTATTTTTATAGCAATTTCAAAATGTAATTTTATATGTTTCAAACGTATTCTTAAAATATCTGAGTCAGTATCTCTTGTTTCTTTAAATTTTATTTTGCTAGTAAATCTTTTTTTATTTTTATTTTTATTTTTATTTATTTATTTATTTTTTTGAGATAGAGTCTTGCTCTGTCGCCCAGGCTGGAGTGCAATGGCTCGATCTCGGCCCGCTTCAAGCTCCGCCTCCCAAGTTCACACTATTCTCCTGCCTCAGCCTCCCGAATAGCTGGGACTACAGGCGCCCACCACCACGCCCAGCTAATTTTTGTGTTTTTAGTAGAGACAGGGTTTCACCTTGTTAGCCAGAATGGTCTCGATCTCTTGACCTCGTGATCCACACCACTCAGCCTCCCAAAGTGCTGGGATTACAGGCGTGAGCCTGTACAATCTTCACCCGACAATCTTTTTTTAAAGCATCATTACAAAAGTGACAAATTGTAATTTTAAGAAGTCCTTTGCCATAGAGAGTTTGAGAAGCACTGCTTTAGAGCACCTGTTACAGGAACCCTGGACCTCAAGAGGGATTGACGTCTCCACCAAACTGACTGAGGACTGTGTGTAAGTCATTTAACTCTCGGAGACTTCATGTTCTCATGTTTTAGTTCAGGGCAATAATTCATATCTTGGAAGGCTACTGTGGGGGTAAAATTAGATAAAGAATTGGTCATTAACTGTTTCTCTGCGTAGAAAGAACACTTCCAGGCAGATTGGACTGCTGTAGCTGTTCTGTACATGATTGAAGAAAACACCTCTGCCGTTTCTATGTGAAATAGTGCTTCATAAAAATGTTTTGTGTCCTAACTCATTTTAGGGCTCTTTTGCAAAGCATCTCACTCCAATGTTGTCTGTATCGAGCTGTGTGGTGACAGGTTTCTTTTCTGGGTGATTAGTGAACAAGTAACATTGCTTGGGCTTTTATCTCCTTTTGCATTGTTTTGTTGCTTGCTGGCCGTGCCTTACATTCCTAATTTAGTGGGCAAGAATGAAATGTGGTTGGCAAATCCTGTAATGCTGAATTACAATGTCATGAATCTTTCACATTCCTTCCCTAGATTCTGCGGATCTTCTGCATAGCAACAGACCTGGTTTACCTTCAGAGACTCATCAAACTATCTGAAGGAGTGCAATTCTTTTAAGATCTCTTTTCTGTGTGTGTGTGTGTGTGTGTGTCTGTGTGTGTGTTTTAATATACTCTTGCATTTCAGTAGTTGATTGAGATGGGATTCATGCACAAGAGATTTACAGAATTTGTATCCGATTAGCCCGGGCCACTTTATACTCTGTCATTGTAGATGTGGTTTTTAAACTGACAATTGTAAGTTTGCATGTATTCCTTCTCTCCTAACTCTGTTTAGACTTTGTATTCAGGATAGAAATTACCTTTTCTAAGAAGTTTTACCAAGCTGGGTGTAAATCTATAATACCTCAGCAGTAAAACAACCCTGGAGGGATAATTTTGGGCAAGCATTTCAATCTTGATACCAATTAAAATGGTAGGATCTGTCTCACCGCCATCACACAAAACAGGTTTCTATGCCATCTCCTCACTTCTTGCTTAGAGAAAACCATCAGACTGGTTTCATCGCACTCAGATTTAAGATCATACATCTTTTTTTCAGAGCTTTATGGATTCTAATAACAATAGAAAGTACTGAAATAAGCCTATTTTTGTGGCTGCCTTTCAATCAGTATGTAACACACTTCCCATTTTGTCTTCACCAGAAATAAATTGTACTTTAAATCTCTGCTCTCCTTAAATATTTCAAATATGTGGGATATGATATCATCTCTAAAGAGGGAACTTCTTTAGATGGTATTGTTAGGAAGGCTTAGCAAAAGTATTTTGCAAGCTAGTAACATGATTCTAGAACAGGTTTTATTGCCTTAGAAGATGGTAGCATCCTCCTGAGATTAAGAAATTGCTATAATTGCTATGTGAAAGAGAAGGCAGAGAGACAGTTTTTGCTGATAAACTTTGAAGAGGTTTAGAGAAGCAAGACACGGTTGTTTTAAATATAGAACCACCTTTCTTCACTCTCCATTGCCCAAATCCTATTCCTCGACACCCTTGCAGCCCATTTCTCCCGCTTTGTGCTTCAGCTCACCTTGGCTCTTTGTGATACAACTTTTTCCGTGCAATTGAGTCACTTGAAGAGACTTCTGCAACATTCACAAGGAAACAAGCATCATCGACAGTGCTGAATTTATTGTTTTGTAAAGGCATGGGGTTTTGTATGTGAACTTCTGGAGACAAAAGAAACATGAATTCTGACTATAATTTATCCCATGCCATATATTCCCTATTCTACACTTAATGTTTCATTAATTGCTCTTATCAGTTAGGCTCTGTGGCAGCATTTTACCTTTTTGAATAGCTGCTCATTTTCCCTACATTTCTGTAGTTTTCTTTAGCGCTCTCTAAAGGGTACTATTCTTCTTGTGTGACAGATGGGCATAGCTTTACAAGAAAGGGATTTAGTCATTAACACCCATGTAAACAGATTATTCTTGCTAAGAAAATACCTTGTAAGGACACAAGAGCAGTGTAGCTTTTGAGAGAAACCATATCTCATACATTAAAATTGCGAAACACTTTCAGGTTAATTGCTCTTTATTAGAATTGTTTGTGGGAAGTCAGGATGTTGAAGCAGAAGGCAGGTCATAAAACAGAGGTTTGGTTGTAACCTTCCAAAGTCTGCAGGTGACAGCTGCTCGTGGCAGGTATAGCAGAGCGCTTGGAGATGTAGAGTGGGAGGTCAGCAGTGGTGATGGACTCTGGAGATACTGGATCACCACGAACAGAGCTCTCATTTCTCCCCCAGCTGGAAGTGGCAGCTACTATTTGAGAACTGCAATAGATAAACATTTGCCAAGTTAATCAGGCATGTACTATGTCCATTAATCCCTCCTGTTCCAGGTCAAACCTTATCCCTTCCCTCTTTGAAAGGAAACAACAGTTATGTGCTCAATATCATGAAGGACATTATACGTTTATTCGTTTCTGTATATCTATGAATCCTTTCTGAGCTGTCGAGTATGCATTCCTTCCTTCAATTAAGAGGTATTTATTGAATGGCTACAATGTGTCACTGCATAAGGTGACATATGCCTGTGGGGAAACTTGCTACCTGATATCAGAAAGCTTACAGTCTGTTGCAAGAAACTTAGACATTAAGTGAGAAATTACAAATTAAAATGTGAATTGTAATCACAGCAATAAATTAATGTACCTTATAGTAAGTCTTCTGGGTTGAGTAAAGTGCTGTCTTTTGAGGTACTTCTCTTTCATAATACTGTTTTCAGCTGAGTAGCACAATGCACGCGAAAAACAGAAAGCTGAAAAGAATAAATAAGTGATTAGAAATTAAGCAATTAAGATGATAGGACAGAGAAGGTAAGGTTGGAAATTGGAAAGCAGATACCTAAGAGATGAATTAGTCTGTAATCACATAAGGAACGCTAAAATGCCTCATAACAATGCTTTTTTTTTTTTTTTTTTTTTTTTTTTTTTTGTATTTACAATGTTTCTCATTCATTAGGTTACTTTATCCTCATAATGACCCTGCAGGGATAATAAGGGCAAGTATGACCCTCCTGGCTTTAGAGGGAAGTTCAAGTCTTGCCTAATGTTACCCAAATAATAATGAACAATGTTGAGACTGGGACCCAGGCCTTCTGGTTTCCAGTCTATTATGAGTTCTACAGCTACATGACAACACATTTCTTTTCACCTGTCATCTCTAAATGTGTTTGACAGCTCCAAAGCAATCCATGATCACTGACAGGACAAAAGCAATCAAGTTCACATCAATACCCTACTTTCAAAGAGGAGCTCAGAAATTCAGAATTTTTGGAAAAGCAATTTGTGTCAAATGCAGAAAGTCTAGAAAATCTAGAGAGACAACAAAACTCACCCATAATTCCATCAGCCAAATATAACCAGTTTTAAGATTTACATATATATCCTCCCGGTCTTTTTTCCCTTGCGTCTTTATTATTTCACACATTGAACTTCTACTTTGCAAACTGCAGGTTAAAATTAGCTCTCTCTATATATATGCTACATATATGTGTGTGTGTATATATATATCACATATTACCCCATATTGATATTTCCCTATAGTATGATATTAAGGTTAAAATATTTTTGTTATATAAATGTACTTTATTATTTTTATTATATTATTTTGTTTAACCAATTTTTAATTCTTAGGTATTAATTTTTTTCCTGCCAATATGTACATGGCAGCAGTGATATGCTGATATTTCTGGTTAAAAAAGAAAGCCCTGGTCCATAATATTGGTGTGCTGCACCCATTAACTCGTCATTTACATTAGGTATATCTCCTAATGCTGTCCCTCCCCGTCCCCCTACTCCACAACAGGCCCTGGTGTGTGATATTCCCCTTCCTGTGTCCAAGTGTTCTCATTGTTCAATTCCCACCTGTTCTACCTCTGGTAGACTTAGGCTGTGAATCCATCTGGTCCTGGACTTTTTTTGGTTGGTAGGCTATTATTGCCTCAATTTCAGAATCTGTTATTGGTCTATTCAGGGATTCCACATCTTCCTGGTTTAGTCTTGGGAGAGTGTATGTGTCCAGGAACTTATCCATTTCTTCTAGGTTTTCTAGTTTATTTGTGTAGAGGTGTTTATAGTATTCTCTGATGGTAGTTTGTATTTCTGTGGGGTCAGTGGTAATATCTCCTTTATCATTTTTTATTTTGTCTATTTGATTCTTCTCTCTTTTTTTCTTTATTAATTAGTCTTGCTTGCAGTCTATCAATTTTGTTGATCTTTTCAAAAAACCAGCTCCTGGATTCATTGATTTTTTGAAGGGTTTTTTGTGTCTCTCTGGGTGACAGACGGAGTATCACTCTGTCACCCACGCTAGAATGCAGTGGTGCGATCTCAGCTCACTAAAACCTCCGCCTCCCAAGTTCAAGCAATTGTCCCACCTCAGCCTCCTGAGTAGCTGGGATTACAGGCACCCGCCACCACGCCCAGCACATTTTTGTATTTTTAGTAGAGATGGGGTTTCACCATGTTGGTCACGCTGGTCTAAAACTCCTGACCTCAGCTGATCCACCCACCTCAGTCTCCCAAAGTGCTGGGATTACAGGCATGAGCCACCGTGACTGGCCCAGTCACTTATCTTAACCAAATATTATGTAATGTTTCTCTGTGTCTCATTTGTGTTTAAAGACTGAGGACAATCATTGGATTATGTATACTATTTAATTACATTTATAAACTTAAAACTTGTACTCAGTGCATATATAATAGATGTGGGTTGTCATACCAGCTCTATCAATTAACAGATTGTTAAATTTCAGCCACTTTACTAACCTCATTGAGGTTCAGTTTCCTCATCTGCAACCATTCAGTTTATTTCATGGAATTACCACGAAGATGTGCTATAAGATTTAAAGATCCTTTGATGGTGGGACACATGCAGTGACATTTGGATAGGTGAAAGGCAGAACTCTATTAGTTACTGCTCCCAAAGAGAGCACAGGGAGTTGTGCTGGGGACAAGATAACAGCAAACTGGAGCTGTAGCGGCCAACTCATGGACGGGAAGTGCGACAGGGTTAGCTAGGTTTCACAGACTTTCTGTAGATTGGCTGTAGAATAACTTTTCAGGCTTCAGGGACTAGGTCTGTTCCTGGAACCCGTCCAGGTTGTCTGGTACCTGGCCCCAGGATGATTAGGGCTGGTACAGAGTGACCTGGAGTATGGGAGTTTAAGACAGATGGTTGGGGCATAGTCTGAATCAGCTGTTCGAGAAAGGGACCTGACTGCTCCGTCTACTTTTCTTCACCTTTTACCCTCATTAAATCCTCTCACACGACGGAAAAATGACCACGATCAACCCAAGCTATCACAGAGTGCTTTCTAACCTCGGTGTGGTTTCATCTGTGAATTAAATGTTGAGGTAACAGTGGTTCTTTACATTCTGAAGTCAAAGGCTTATTGAGAATCCTTTGAAAGCTGTGGGCAGCCTCCCCTAAAATGTGTAAGAGTCATGTACAGAACATTTTGCCACCGTTTATGTTGTTGCTTCAACACATGCACTTTACAGAAGCATTTATTTTACAATGAGATAGCTCTCAGAACACATTGCCTCCATTTTCTTCTTTTAGTGGAGCGGCTCGGCCAAGAGATTACAGGCCTTCAGTAAAACTGTGTTGGTTACTGCAGAACACTGAAACAGAAATCTACCTGATTAGCATGGCTAAAATTATTCACTAATTCAGACTGGTAGTGAGCCCCTCCTTGTCAAACTGCTCGGAATGGGCTATGTTTAATCCTCAATAAAAGTGAAAAGTATTCCTCAGGTTCAATCCAGGCCTTTGAAACTTGTCTTCCAAAAGTCAACTTATCTTCTAAAAGATTTTTCTACACAGTGGAAAAGAAACTTATATTCTCTTTCCATTTCTTACAAACTTCTTGAAGAAACTCTGTTTTTCATGAAGGTGATGATTTCACAGCAGTAGACAAGACTTATTTCAAGATAATTGGCAAAAGTCTTTGATCTCAATACATTCTGATGTATTTATAATACTTAATCTAGCAAATATTTATGAAGTACCAACTATATATCAGGACCTTTATTAGGCATGAGGGATACAGCAGGAAATAGGAAAGATAATTAACTGCAATAAGCCATGATGATATGCGAAGCTTCTACCTTCAGCCAACAAAAAAACCCAGATGTGCTGCCAAACACTTCAGATGCTCGACATCATGTCCCAATTTTTTGTCCCAATTTTTCTTCCAATCAAATATAGTGCATTTTTCTTCTTAAAAATCTGAAGATAAGAATTTTCTTAAAGTTTCCAGAACAGACATAAAATAGGAGGGTATTTCTGATAGCATCATGATTTACTTATTCGCTCACTGTAGATGCAGTAGTAAACAATATAGACCTGGTCCCATGCCCACTAGTAAGCTGTGAAGGAAGAAAGCTAGTAACTGTAACTAACTGCACTTGGAGATACCAGCAATTCCATCTAGTTTATGCTGAAGGAAAATGGCATATCTGCCAATTCCTCTAAGACTTGCTTCAAAATATTAAGTGAATATCAGCATTTCTGGAGTAGATGATATAGACAGAAGTACAAGCTACAAACCAAGCCACAAACCACTTCTCATATTTCCAAAGCATGGATCCTTGAAGGATTTCCAATTTGTGTCATACCTTCTATTTGGTAGTGCAAAAAAAAAAAAAAAAAACTCACAGAAAACCAGTTTTTGCATTGAATTTCGAGTGAGCATTTTCAGGTTTGTCTATCTATTTCACATTTTCTGAAAACTCATCTTTCTTCCAAATGTATAGTTGCATAGGAGCTACCATGTTTCTGTAAAATGATCCATTCACTGGCCACAGCCATTGAGTTAAGCAATGGACACTTGACCCAGATGGGATAAATACAGCTTTTCTCTGGAGAATTTGGATCTACTATGAAGAACTTTTTTTAAGAAGGTAAACTTAAGAAAGGAATATCAGAACCATCTGATAAGAGTCTAATATCTTAGGGTTAAAAATATAAATCAGATTTGATTTCTCCCTTGATTAAAATCACACAATGGTTGTCCATTATTCTTAAGATAAAGATCGACTCTGTCTCTATATCTGCACTGTACTACAGGACAGCTTCTGCCTACCTTTTTGACTTCACTTTTTATCACTCTACCCCTCATTCAGCCTCACGAATATTCCTATTTTTGATATATGGCAAGCTCCTTCCAGTCTTAAAGACCTTATATTTGTTCTTCCTAAAAATTAAAATAAATGTCTTTGAATTTTCCTATGACAGGCTCCTCCTCATCATCCAAGTTTCAGCCT